TAGCTCAGCTTATTTTGTATACGAACGGGGCATTCTCATATGACATAGAATAAGATGGGTTGTAGAGATGTAGCTTTAGGAATAATCGGTTGAGGTGTGCCAAAACCGACGTATGCTGTAGGAAGGTAAAAAGTGGGCTTACATGGAGGCAATATTAACAATGGGAGTGAAGGGTGGGGCTATTCGTCTGACCAACAAAGGTAAGTAGGGAAAGGGGGGAGTACCTTTTATAGGTCTATAGCCTCTCCCACAATTTCAGGCCATGCCTTCCAATATATATATATATAAATGTATTTTATTTATTATTTATTTATTTTCAGGAGCCTTGCACACAATTGTTTAACATAAATGACTTGCCCCACACAGCACTAATGGATCTTATCAGAAAACATCTTTTGGTTTCTTACATAAAACATGTCCAAATATATGTACATTAATATATCTTAAAAACACATACACACACAACTTAATTTGTAGTAAAAGTCAGTAGTAGTCATAGTAACATTGTAAAAAAAAAACTATCAATTTATTTATATTTATGGGTTCGTGTTTAATGCTTTAATACTTGTCTATATTCTGCTAATCTCTATACAATTATTTGCCTTAGACATATTTTATATATAACAATCATTCATGAAGTATGTAATATGGAAACTGACTTTGTATACAGGATTTTTAATAACCTTCATGTTGTCTTGGGACTGCATGCCAGTTTCTTTTTAAATTCTACAACAAATTGCTCCTTATTGTACAATTTGTACAATTTGTATTCAGTAGCAACATGCTAATGCAAGTGAAGAGTTTATAAAAAATAATCTTAAAAGTTGATATATGCAATAGAGCCAATTAACTCTTAATGTCCCAAGTGTTTAAATATAGTTTGGTAGTTTGGTGCATTGGTAGTTGCATGTGCATCATCTTTTTTAACATGTTGCTGTTTGATACACCCTGTTAGGTAACAGATTTTTAGTCTCAGCCAAGAAGCTACTGTTCTCTTAAGCCAAACAATGCATATTTTAGTTTAATAGGTTAGCACTGCTCAAGAGAGAAAGAACAATATTTATAATTGGTGATAACACTTATTTGACATATTTTGCTATATAAAATATATTTATCGAACTAACTTGACTCAACAATCAAAAGACATTATATAACCTGCTGTGAAAAATTTAAGTAGAAATTTCAGGCAATTCTTCCAAAACTACTGTAACAGGCAAAATGATAAGCACACTTACAATATAAATACAATGCCATAGGAAATTATGTGAATCATTAATAATTTATATCATTATACAGTAATGACTTTATCACGCAGGCAACTATTAGCACATCCACTATTCTACTGTGTCTGTGAGAACTGGGAATACAGATTAAACACCAGCCGAACAGCATGCTTTATATGTATACACCAAAGTAACCTTTTATATATTCCTGTTCATGTCTCCTAGGTAAGTTCAAAGTCTAGAAAGCATTTGAGCAAATAGCCACAGTTTTCTTTTTTTTCTTTTAATCTACGTTGTTCAGTTCAGTACAGCGTGACTTTCCATCAGATCATTATATACACGCTACAGCTTGCATTCAATAAATGAATACATTTGTTTCCTTGTCTTTAACATTTTCCATCCGGTTTGTTTAGTAAATAGACTAGTAAATTTATTTTGTTTTCATTTTGTTTTGCGTCACTGATACCTCATGATTCAAGCACTAGTAAAATATAATAGAAACATAGAAACATAGAATATGATGGCAGATAACCATTCGGCCCATCTAGTCTGCCCAATTTTCTAAATACTTTTATTAGTCCCTAGCCTTATCTTATAGTTAGGATAGCCTTATGCCTATCCCACGCATAATACTCTTAGTTCTCCTGAATGTAATAACAGACAATTAAAGAAAAAATGTCTTTATTTTTGCTATTATTGAAAATAAAATATTGTTTTATTGTTTTGGTTGTACATTATATACAATATAAAAAAAAATGGCAAAGTTCTTGCACTCACGCTATAATATGCCTTGTGTGCCGGGTGCTAAGCCAGGGCTTGGTTATCCAGGTATCCAAAGAGGTAGCAGCACTCACGGAATATAAAAGTTCTAGTCTTCATTAATTCATTTAAAAAAAATATCACAATCAACGTTTCAGTCCACTAAACGGGACTTTCCTCAGGATCAATACATATATACAATATATATGTATATATATATATATATATATATATAAACCAAAGAAAAAATGTCACGCCTTCTGTGCAAGTAGCAAATAATGGCATAAATCAATGATATTTAAATGTCTTGGTCTTTAACCACACTGGAACCAATACATAACCAAAAATATGAAGGAAGTGGGCACTCAAAGGACATCGCTATTTAAAAAGTAAAAACCTCTTGAGAAAGGACCAAGATTGGGTCCAAAACGTTGACTATGCACAAATAAAGTTTTTTTTTTTTTTTTTTTTACCCATTAAGGATGGTGGGCGTTCTTTGCTGTCCTTTTTGGTGTGGCTCTAAACGCCGGGCCATGTGATCGTGGGATCCTTGAAATCACATAGCCGGCTTATGCACTGCCTGAACTCCCCTGTCCCCCTAATGCCTGCAGAAAAAGTTTAGAAAGTTAATAAAAGTTATTAAAATGCTTAATAAAGTAAATAAAAGTACTTAGATCATATATATATTTATTGTGAGCGAAAAAGTGGAATAGTGGTTGATGGAAGATACATCAGGCCTGATTTGCTAAAAAGCAACCAGAGAATTTTCAGTTAAATGCCCCAGGGAGAGATGTTAACGTTTGCAATATACATTGCTGATGCTCTGCAAAACATGGTATGGGTCCCTGGGGCAGGAGCATTTGGAGAGCAGGGTGGGCCAATGCTCCAACAACACTAGTTGCTGTGTAACAGACCAGAATTTTGATTTAGCTTAAGAGTTAACTAATTGGCACTCACCTGTAGCTGGTCAATTAGCAGACAGGCCTTTAAAAGAAGAGAGCAGCCTGCTGCAGAGTGAGGGAGAAAAAGCCAGCTAGGAGAGCTGAAGGAGAGAGAACAACAATTGTGTTTATTGCAAAGCTATTTCATTTTTTTTGGGGGGAAATTGGTAAGTGGGAAAGCCACCCAATTACAGATAGTGATTTCTGTCTAGTAAGAGCTCAAGCAAGAGCAAGGAATTTTTTGTTTATTATTATTTAAAGCAGCTCTTTTTCCTATCAAATAAAAAAGGAAAACCGAGCTGAATGTGTCCTGGACTTTGTATACCCTAGAAGGCTGTGGTTTATTGTAAGATCTGTGACAAAATCCTACCTGTAAAAGAGGTGGTTTGTTACTATATATATATATATATATATATATATATATGATCTAAGTACTTTTATATGCACATACATAAACCATTATTCTAAGTGTATTTTAATATTAAAATAAATAAATAAATATATATATATATATATATATATATATATATAAACTATCCCACACTCACTGCTCCCGGTCTTCTCTGTTGCCCAGGTGCAAACTTAGACCTCCAAATATATAAATCCTTGTTTGAAGTGCACTCACAGGACTCAGAATTATTTCAAATCGTGCTGTTTATTCAAAGCATCAAATTTCCAGTAAATGGTGTTAACGTTTCAGTCCTCCAGGGACTTTTCTCAAGACTTCAGGTGGAAGGGGTTTTCAATCACAATTTTTCCCCACCATAACCTATTTATATATACATACACACACACATATATATATATATATAAATTTAAAAAATGTGTGTGTATATATATATATATATATATATATACACACACACACACACACACACATGTATATATGTATGTATCATTGACTGCTTTAACGTCCAGTTTGTAATGCCGGATAAACGTGTCTAAAGAGGTCAAAATGCCAGCTTTACAAAAAGTGTCAGTAGAAACCATTGCCATGGGAGCCCACAACGATGCAACAGCAGGAGTGGAGGGTGCCCTGATACCCTTCTGGAGTTCACACATTCTCCTTGCTGACGTACTAGCCACCAGCAACAGCACTTTTCTGAGCTCACATCATGGAAGCTCCTGTTAGAGGCTCGAATGGTGGTTTAGTCAGAGCCTTCAAGACCATAGGTATGTCACATATTGGCTTCAGCACCCTTAGTGGAGGCTTGAGTTTAATTGCTGCTTACATGAAGCAAAGCACCAGAGGCTCCAATGCCCAATGGGTACCCATCAAAGTGGAAAGTGCAAATATGTGCTCCACTAGAGTGTTATAACTCAGACCCTTTCTAAGCCTGATTGAGGAGTAATTCCAACCTCTATTCTTGAGACAGGCAAATTCATGCCAATATTTGAAATATATTTATTGGACTGTAAGATGATCTCAGGGATGCCTATTCTTATAGAGACAACCGCATCAACACCAGAACTTGGATCTTGGTGTGTCAAGGGACCTTGTAATAGGTCTTGGAGGTTCCTGATTCATCTTACTCATCATAGGAATTTAGAGTCGACGTGGCCTTCCACTGTCTCCTTTTAAATTACCTTTAGGAAAGTTGAAAACAGGAAAAATATGAACATAAGACTAAAATTCCAAATTTGAGTCAGTGTATCCTGACCTTGAGCATTCTGGTCCTAAAATCTAGAAAAATACTTCTGGACCTGGTAGTTGTGGGAAACGACCATAACATCTACGTAGGGTATCAGTCAAATCTGAGTCAACCCTGAGGATACGTCGGGACATAGTTGCCATTCCACCTTGTCCTCAGTTACTTGGCTCAGGTAATCAGCCATTGTATTCTGAGCCCCTGGTTGTTCTTCTGTGCCCTGATCATCATAAGTTGTAATTCCCTCATCAATAAGTGGCTGTGAGACCCACCTTGACCATTGATATAGGATACAGTCGCATTGATATTTGAGCAAATTCGGACCCACTTGTTCTTCAGCAATTCTCTGAAGTGAAGGAGAGCCCTGAAAATGACTTGTAATTTCATAATATTGAATGGTAATATTGCGCCTTCCCTTATCCACAGACCTTGTGTAACATGGTCCAAACACTGTGCAACCACTCCTTGAAATGGATTGACAATGAGGTTATGTTCACTGGAAACCCAGAGATATATTCTCTCTTTTCAGCTACCAGGTAAGGTGTAACTCCACTGATGGTGATATCATCAGTGGCTAGCTCCAATCCATCTTTCTCTTGTTGAACCAAGATAGGAAGGACCTTTGATGAATCCTGAGATGCCATTTGGTCCATATGACAAGTCTGATGGTGGAAGCCAGGATTCCTAGTAGTTGCATATATGTTCTTGCTGTTACCAAGCTAAAATGAAGAAATTGGAAGAGAGAGCTTCCACAATCTGTGGAACTGTTCCTGAGATAGGAAAAAAGCAGACCATAGTATGTTCCACCCAGCAATGTCAATTTCTGGTGGGAAACTGCTTTTCTTGATATTCATCAAGCAGCCAAACTTCAGGAGTTCTGAAATAACTATATCCTTCGGTGGGTCTGAGGCTACCAGAAGTAGATCATCCAGATAATGGAACCAGGTGGTGTTCTGGATGTTCAATATCACTATAAGCACATATAAGATTCCTGGGGCTGCAGTGAGGCCAAATGGTAGGGCATTACATTGGAAGTTCTCTCCTGAAATAATGCTGAAGATCTAGGGCTATTGGAATGTGATAGTAAGCATCCTTGAGATATATAGAGATAAGGAAATTATTCTTCCAAATTGCTTGAGATATGGATCTGATTGACTCCATCCCGAAAACTCTAACATTCAGCCTTTTGTTGGCCCTTCCAGTATAGGCTTCCATTTGCCTTTTCTTTTCGCCTCAGAAGAGAGGTGAATATTGTCCCTGGAACTGCTCTTGTTATGGAACCTAAGAAATTACCTCTTCGTCCATAAGGTTTCTTACATATTCCTTCAGTGTTATACCTTTTGATTCATTTGTCTGAATTCTCTTGTTGGTATAGAGATGTCTGTGTCTGAATAAAAACACTCCAGTCTATAACCCAAGTCTCCAGAATATGAAGAGCCCAAGTATGTCTAATCAGAAAAAATAAGGCTAATAGTACTGGAGGACAGACACAAGTTCATTGCTGAAGAGCAAAAATTACTGCTTCCTGGCTCAATTAGAACCTCAAAAGGCAGGTTTACCAACTGCCATGAGTTACCTGAAGTATTCCCTGAAGGGTCAGTAACTCCATGTAGCTCAGAAATGCTGGTCACTGGAGGTTCTCCTGTCTGACCATAAGGAGCTGGGATTCTTGGATTTTCAGTCCTGAGGTACAAATACCTTGCAGCCCTGAACTGCATTTTTAATGGATTAATCCAAAGATTTCCCAAACAGCAGCTCCCCTTCAGATAGAATGGTGTAGAGGGCAGACTTGGGTAGATGAGTCATCAACCCAGAAACAGAACCATAATGCTTTCGTATCTGCTATAGATAAAGCCATTTGTTCAAGAGAATATCCTAGTTACATCTAGGGAAGCTTCTGTGAAGAAGTCAGTTGTGACTTCAGACTGCATCTTCAATCTTGGCTCTTAATATCTCTCTCCAGAATAGTCTTTAGATCTTTAATCACAATTTTCATGGTTCTAGAAACAACAGTGAAAGCTACAGCTAGATGACATACTGCATCGACAGGCGTATACATTTGGACAGGTCAGCAGGGAACATTTCGTAAGTGCGGGGGGAGGAGCGATGAAGTAACACGCCATGCTCACAGGTGATGAGAACCAGGAGGGAGAGAAGGTAGGACGTCAGTGAACAGACTTGGGAGAATGCCGCATACTGCTCACACGGCCACCCATTGAAAGTCCTTGCAAGTGACTGCAAGTTAAGGATTTGAGAACTGCCAGGCTGCTGAAGGACCTCTCCAGTTACCCGTCCTAAAGAGGCAATGGCAAGCGGTGGGAGAAATCCTGGAGTGCCATGTGTGGAACTCCTAGCGAACGAGCTGATACCTCAGGAAGGGAAGCAGTTAACAGAAAAAAAACATATGTTTGGTGAATAAAGGATCCCTGATAATAAGGGAATCTTTAGTAAAATCTAAATTATTTTGAAGAAATAAATGGTGATAGAGGTAGGCTAAATTCTACCTCACTATATTTTATAATTGAGGAATATTGAATCGCCCATATAAATATACTTATATGTGGACAAGGTCTCACTAAAATTGAAAAGAGACTATTGCAAAAAAGATATTTCTTTAGAAACAAGCCACTTTAAAGGGGTATTTGTGCAGGACTTTGTGTTCATTCTTTTTTTTTCTTTGTGTGTGTGTGTGTGTGTGTGTGTGCTTAAACACCTAAGTAAAGGGGGAAAGCCCAAAATCTAAACCCCTCATTTCAGCATACCCCAAGAACAAACTGACCCACATGGCTAATTGCAAAATCCAAGACCAGAAACCAGTAAAAAAAAAAAAGAGACAATAAAGGGGAAACTACAGAGAAACATTTATCTTTCTTTTCTGCCCAAAGTAATAAATCAGGGCCTCAGAAGGACTTTGCAGACGAAACAGTGATGAACACAGAGAGAGACCCACTGCATAAACTCCTTGAATCTACTGACTCCCAGAACGTCACAGTTGAATTATTAAATAATGTGCTGGATACTCAGTTTGAAAGAATTAAAAACTAACTTCTCCGCTTCACATTGGAACTTAAAATTTCTTATAATTGTAAATGAAAGAATTTCTGAAAACTCTGAGAGAATTCTAAAATCAGAGAGTAATATTTTTTCAAATTCAACTTAATCTCCAACAAATGCATCCAAAATAGACTATATGGAGCAAAAATCTGTGGATATGGAGGACAGAGCAAGGTGAAACAATTTAAGGCTAAGAAACATACCAGGAGAAATATCTAAAGAAAATTTAGAAGAATACCTGAAAAATGTCCTTACAAGCATTGATATACAAACCGAAAATCCAGACCACTTTATAGAACACTGGCATCGAATTCCAAAACCAAACAATATATCCTCAAGTTCTTCAAGAGATGTTCTGATTTGCTGCTCTACTTACCGCATTAGGAACATCTATTAACGCTGGGGTTTCCCTGTTAAGATAATTTTGAACTACAAGTCTTATACTTTTGACTCTCCTGAAAATCTAAATTCCTGGATCATAGGAAAAAAATTGAAATCCTAGAATATAAGGGAAGCTCCAAGAGGAAGAGAAACTGAACTTTTTAATTAATTAATTCATTCATTCATTCATTTGTGTTTGGTTCCTTTTCCATACTCTGCTGATGATCATTTAGTGGAGGTTATCTAAACAAAACATCTTAAAATCTGATGAATATGCAGGGGAGGTTATTTAAACAGTCTTACTAAGCCTCTCCTCTATTCAATGTGTAAAGTGGCCATAAAAAACATTTTTTAATGGCTAACATTTTTTTTAAACTAAACTGATATCCAGTATTCTACATAGAGATGAAAACGAAAAAGTTATATTCATTCCGAATTTCTTCTCCTTCTCTATTTTATCTAATTGTATATTTTTGTTTTTTTTAGTTAAATGAGGGAGGAGGTCTACACATAAATTCTAATACAAATATAAGTAGATCCAAATAAAGGATACTATAGATACACACGATACGTGAAAAGCTGCCACTCTATAGGCACATCCCAAAAAACCTATAAATCAAGGTAAGAAAATAGAAAGGTGGGGACAAGCCCACCTAAGGAGGGCACTGATCACTACAGACAAGTGTTAAAACCTAATAATAATGTAAAAAATCTAAAAAAAATATTCTGCACACTGCACAGTATATAAAAGTGTATAAATATTAATAACAGACAATTAATGCCAAAAAGTGATACAAACCAGTTCAATTGTAAGAACTGGGAAAAAATCCCAACTTCAACCACTCAGCTAACAAGTAAAATAGATGTAACATGCAGCCCTCGGTCGCGATTCCTAGGGCTGAAAAATACTTGCAGCTTGCAATACAGTGGAAACGTGGTGGTGAGGTAACGGTCTCTGGGCTGCTGAATGTGTTAACTTGATGGCTCTGGCTCGACGCATTTCGTTCCGCGTTCTTCGGGACTTCCTCAGAAGCTGTAGACACTCTGATCCTCTCTCTGCCGTTGTCTCTTCTTATATCTTCCATTTTTTCAATCTTTGCCTCAAACTTGCAATAGCGCATGCGCACACCGACACTAACTTCCGTCCAGCTACGGGTACCCCCATAGACCAGTAGCCTTCGGTAAGTATTCGGTGCGCATGCGCGGCCAGATGAATCCGCATGAAACTTTATTGGCACCTGAGCTCGGTCACAACATAACACTAATATAGTTACATGTAATCGTAAACTCATTACAATATATGCCTAATATTACAAAAAATCCTTAGAATTTACCACAAAATAACAATTATATATGGGCAATTCAAAAAAACACACAGCTATTTGGAGAATATATAACTCATTAAAAGAAAAAGGATTTTTTCATGTAAATAAAAATAAATAAAATAATATATATATAAAAAATAATATATATATAAAAAAGGGGATGTTGTGTGTATAATTTTTTGTGGTAATCTTCACAATCTAAGAAACAATCACAATAGCACACCCCTTCTTCATACCAAAAAATAATGTGGAAGTTAATATGAAGATTATACTTAAGAACACAGTACATCTCTATCTTTATCAGACACAATAACAATATTATTAGATACAATAACAATATTACTAAATGTATTATTAAATGTATACAAAATCAATCTTCCTAAATCTTTCAAATTCTTAAAATTCTTACATTTCTTGATTTTCAGTTCTCATGTTTTCAATTTTTTTTAGCTAGACAATACCCCATAGTGAATATACTAGAGCAATACATCCTATAAATTCAACGAAAATGATCCCATTACCGTAATATATATTCTACCAATTGGAATCGTAAAAAAAAAAAAAAAAATTGAGAGAAAAGGAATAAAGTTTTTCTTCACATGAAAGCCAGGATATCTAGGTCGGTATTCAGACCTCGAGGGGTGGAGGACTTCATTTTATATATCCATTCTGTTTCTTTTCTGACTAGGGTCTTGGTAGTGTCACCACCTCGCCAATGCGGAACAACTAGATCGATACCTATACAAACAAAGTTATTAGGAGTAAAAACAGAACAACTATTGCAATGTCGAGGCACACTATGTTTCTCACTTTTCTTTTTTATACCATAAAGATGTTCTATCAGTCTCTCATGTAGTCTATGGATAGTACGGCCTATATATTGCATTCTGCATGCACATTCCAACAAATATATCACGTTCTTACTACTACACTTTATAAAATGTTTTATCATAAACTTT